GAAAGGCTTTAAGCCTACAATGCTTAGAGACAATATTTCAATTTATTTTACACAATAGCAGCCTATTCATTTCAAACCGTTTCATCCTTCTGCCATGTGAGTCGCGTTTCTCCTTTTTATGTGCGTATGCATGGTTCAGAGCTTACTTACACACACAATTCACAATTAGTTAATCAGTCACAATTACTTGCACAATTTCCCGTCAAGTGTGTTTTTTATAGATTGCTTGGGAAGTGGCGTCCACACGTTTCCAGCCCTGTTTTGTACGTACACACCGTTTATAAATGAGACCCCAGGGGCCTGTGGTCTGTGGTCTATACTACGAAGAGAGTTCAACCTACTCAGAGGGCCTCTCAGGAACTAGATCCTCGCCACTTCCACTCCATCACAGAGTGAACTCTGGTTGGATTCACCCTCAAAACCAAATCAAGCTCCCTAACCTGCGTAGTGTATGAATACAGCAGCCAACCTTTGGACGAACTACCCTCTCCCCTGCATAAATATGAACTGATGTTACCGCTGCACTCACTGCTATAATACATTTAAATCAGTTAAAATGTATAAAGACTTAACTATTTTTCTTTAATGCCTTTGTTGCTTGTTACGTGATCGTCTAATGTACGCTATTATGTTTTGGCTGAAGATTTTCGTATGAGATGAATACGATTCAGTAAAAACAACAGTTGTATTGTCTATCAGACGAGCATTTTTTTATTAAACAAAATACAACATTTGGGCTGCGTTGTGAATGGTGATGTGAAATGTTAGTGTAGTTTCAGAATTTAAACATCCTACATGTTAATCATCAAAGTAACACGGAACTCGCAATTGAAAGAAAGGTCCCCCATCGTGCAGCAAACGGTGTTACACACCTTCAACAAGCAATGGAGGGTTTAACAACCCACTACCAGTCCGCCCTTGTTGGTGTCGGATGGCACTCAATGTGGTGGACCCTCCGCATGCACGCGCAAATGAAGTGGAAGTAGGTAGGTAGAGGGAGGAGCAAGGCTCAGAGGTAACTCGGGTTTATCAGGCAAACTCAGGGTTGACAAACTCTTGACTGCCTACATTGATGTTAAAGGGTACTACGAAGGTGAATAAGATGTTGGTTAGTTGAGTCGGTGTTAACTTAATTGGAAGTTGATGCGCGTTCGCATAAAAAGGGTGTGTGCGGCCGTGCAGGAAGAGTGTTTTTGTAACGCCGCATGCTTTGTATTTTCCCCAGACGAACGCACGTTGTGTCGGGATCAGGATATCAGGAGTTTAAGGACTGGCCGACAAAGCCAGGGAGGCTTGTTGGCATCGCATTGAGTACATTTGTAATTATCTTCACAGTGTTCTTATTGTAGGCTAATTTCTCTATTATGTGTATATGATTAAGATGTAAAGGTACAACTGCTTCACAATCACATTTAGCAGTGTGGAAATAGGTGAGTTCTGCCCACAATCACTATATTTTCACACCTTAGAAATGTTGCCATGGAGTGATTTAGATTTTTTGTGACTTTAATTTCAGGGAATTTCCGGTTTTTGTCCTTGTAAATTTGACACTTTCATCTAGGATTTGTTTTCTCGGTTTTATTAACCCCCACCCTGGCTCCGTATTTTTCGGACATGTAAATTAGTCAATCTAAATATGTGAAAACACTTAGGATAATTTAGTTATAGCCTACAGATGGGCCACATCTAAGAAACTGTCCCGTTAATTAATTCAAATCTCCACCCTAAAGTCAGAGAGGCTGCAGGGCTCGCTGTTTGAACGTAATGCTGTTATGTTAAAAATAACTTCATTTCAGCTGCAACCACAGTGGAACAAGTCAGGATGAAATCTAAAAATATTTTATCAAGTGGTATGTACTAATAGCCTACTTCTCATCATTAACACAGTACTGATGTGGTGTGTGGTCCACGTATACAGGGCAACCTCGTGTTAACCAAGAACATAACCAACTCGGAGCAGTTTAGAAATGCAGCATAAATTGCCACCTTTCGTAGAACAGGTTAATCGGGAAGTTACACCCAACGAAGTCACTCGTGAAGTTACCTGGATGAGCCAGTTACCTCGCTTCGTAGTACAGGACACAGATCACAGACCCCAAACCAGAAAACCAAAATCACAACATCAAAAGGCCAAAGCAAGACTGAAACAGGACATCAAAATCCTAACAGATTCTTGTTTGGCCTGAAGGGCTCCAGCACATAAAATTGTGTTCTTGGTTTTTATCCTTACGTGGACTTTCTGCTGGGAGCCGGTCTTTTTATGATCTTAGTGGACTCCATGTTGTTGTTGCTGTCTGTATATTTCCGATGCAGCAGGCGAGAGGTTCGGGAGCGCACATGCATGTAACAGCCAATGGATTTTGGGAAAACCTGACCCAGATTCTTCACATAGGAATAAGCATACAGAAAAATCTGGCGAGTGTTTTTGTATGTGAGATTACAACCGCTTCACACATACAGGCAAAAAAAATTGTTTGTTATTCCCTTCAAAAAGAACTCATACAAGTGTTTCTTGATCTGACACCCTGATTAACAGGACAGCATCATGATTTTCACATTTATTTTTATAATTTTCTGTCACCTCTGTGGTTAAGGTTTTGTTAGGTTTAGGCACAGATAGAACTTGGTTACGATGGAAAAGATTAGATTGAATTTGTAAACATACTTGGTTGATTTTAAGAATATTGGTTGTCATGGTTAAAAGAAAAACATTTTGGTTTATGTTAAGGAAAATAACTTGGTTAAAGATTGGTCATGCCTAAAAGAAACCAACATTGACTGTTGGTAGAAACAGTAGCTGTCTTGTCGCCCTGTCCTTCCTCTCTAGCCGTTCCGTTTCCTCGGGCCCATTCATCGCCAACTGCCTGACCCATCTTCACTCATGTTCCCACTTCCCTTATCTGCTCTGCAGTTGCCTGGCCTTCCCTGCCTACCTTCTTATCTCATTCCCTAATCAGCTACTCTAATTAATTTCTCCTGGTATTTTTTGAGATATCCTTTTGAACTTTTTTGAACTGGACTTTGCCCATTCCTTGCATTTTTGATTCTTTCCTGCTCCCTGTTGGATTTGTTGTCCTATTTGGACAGCTTTTCCTGGATTTGATCCTGAAAGATTTTGTATCTTTCTGTGTTAATAAAATCACTGAACTGCACTAACTCAATATGTGGTATCTGCTTTTAGGTCTGCTTGCACAATTGTGACAGTGTTCTCCTTAAGTCACACACCTGATTTACCCATCCATCCATTTTGTCCACCTCGATACAAAGTTTTGTGGTTCTCTAACAATTTTGTGATAACTCCGCCTTTGTACCTGACATAAAGTCCTAATTCACTGGGCTTCAAGAGGTCTTTGTCAGTTAATATTTTGTTTCAGGTAACAGCTGAAAGAGTTAAGAAAAAATGTGGCTGTAAAACTCATTGCCTGCAAGGGGTGCAAGAGCAGCTGTTCCTTTGTTTCACCTATAGGAGGTGACATATCTACACCTAAAAAGAAAGTAACCAAAATACCTTCAAGCCTCCCTCCAAAGCCACTCCGCCCAAACTCATTTTCATGAGCAATGAGTGCACAGGCAGAGTGCGTGCAGAAAGACCAACCAATCATTTCCTTCAGGCCTGCCACAGATACTGGATTTTTTTCATAATTGTTATCAGAGGATTTGATTTATTGATTGCTGTTGGGATGTAAAAAAGAATTTCAACAAATGTAACAAAAAATGCAGGTTAGGTGTAGAATGAGTGAGTTAAAAACCAATTCTGAGGCGCTTCACATGTAAAATGGAGGATTAAGACATGGATGAAAGAAATCATGTAATTTGGTGCCCCTACCGTATAATTCACTGCTGTTTAAATAAAGACAGCTGTACACGTGCATTTGTTATGATTACATTATGATCAAAAACTTGCAAGGCGACAACTTTGCTAACACATACAAACATCAGGCAAGTGCAACAACACAAGACATAACAATATTACTTATTAGTCCTAGTGTGTGCATAGACCGAATGCCAGCTCGGCATCTGTCTCGCAGCCTTTTATGTCACAAAGCTCTTACTGACGTCCAGGAGCCTCTTGCTTGGCCAATCTCTTGGCTGCCTCCGTCAACGTCCTCTTCTCTTTGCCTCTGCCATTAGCCAACAAAGCTACACAGCAACTTTGCCAACACAGGCAAACATCAAGCAAGCACAACAACACAAGACACAGCAAGCCAATTAATGCGTCATTAATAGTCCAACAGAAAGAAATCCTGTCCTATATTTACTTGTTGCTTGCTCATCACTGTCTTGTTCTCTTCCTCACTTCCTCCAGTGTCTTCTTCAGTCTCTTTGCAGCCTCTGCCATGATACCAGGGTTTCCGCTACTGCAAAATTATCGCCACCGCTGCTTCAAATTTTTACGAAATGTCATGAGGTCCTAATTACACAACTCTGCAAATTTTTGCTTTTAATTTGACACCAAAGTGAAGACAGGTCGGCAGAATGCTGTAGAATCTTTCAGCGACACCACTGTGGATTGGGAGCACCGTCTGAAAAAAATCTTAGAGGAAACACTACATACTGAGGATACTTAGAATTATTATTACCATTATGCCATAAACATCCTGTCCGGGATTCTGCTATGTGATCAGTGTTACATAACGTAGTAGTTGGAGTAGCCCCGAGTGGTAATGGCAGAGACACTTTTTAAATTATTTTCAAGCTGTTGTTTTAAGATAAAAATACTACATAATGTTGCTTTAAGTTCTACTATACATGCATATACTATACATTTAACAAATGTAACACCAACCTAGTCTTAATGATGTTAAGGAGACACAAAATCGATTTGAAATTTAGTTTTTAGGACCGTAATCTGTAGGAACCAATACGATGATGATGGCATCATGTATATTTTACTGCTGTATGAAGCATTTCTTTTAGAATTTCATAATGGCTAAATAACATTTTGAGATGAAAACCTTCAATTAATATTACTAAAGATTCAGAATACAAACACATTCATATTCATCCTTGCATGACATTCCCTCATTTTATTTAATTACCGCAGCAGTATTGTTACAAATGTCCTTCCTGCTCAGCTTACAACCAATTAAGAGACAACGCTGCAGCACATGCACAGATTGAATTAACTGGCTTTTAGTATGGAGACAGCAGCCTCACGAGCAGACTTATATACAGAAAAGACTAAAGAGGCATGTCACGCAAAGTCTCGGTTTTCACCCCGGCATGCAACAAACCACCATCGACTAAAACAGCTTCCCTCATAAATTTACAAGCAGTTGTTGAATTATAAATGAGAGGCCTGTTGGGAAAACATGGTTAAATATTGAAAGAAAATTTATCTTAACAGCTTGTTGGAGCCAATGTGGATGCAAAGGTTATCATAACAACAGACAAATAGTACCTGTGTGTCAACAAAGCTACTTTAGACAATGACCAATCTGCGCTCATCTGTAAAAGTCTTAGTAAGTCTTATATCTTCGGTCATAGTGGTACTGTGATTTTGACAGTTCTAGAGACAAACAGACAATTTAAAATTCTTGTCTTTTTAAATAAAAATGTGCAGAGTCATAATTTAAGACTGTAATGCAAAGTAAGATTAATTCAGAGAGACAGAGGAAACACAGAGAACGCAGAGAATGGTGTGAAATAGGGAGGGACCCTGCCATGGAAAACCAGCTCAGGAAATGCCTCCCTTTTGGGTAAACAATGGGCTCTGCTACAGTAACTACAGCGTAAAAATGAAGACATATATTAGAACTATAATTGTCAGTTAAAAAGACTCAGTTAAATATTTGGTTGCAATGCAGTAACAATTTCTGTTAACTTGTGTTATTTAGTTGGAGAGTCAACTTTCAGAGTTCACCCTTAACTTTATAATCAGACTTCTGTGATATTACACCAGTGAAATGCCATAACCTATTTAATTAATCAACCAACTTTTTTCTCAACAACTCATTGTAATTAGATGTGATTGTCACTTAAGTCAGACCAACTTAAAGAGCCATTCCAGTGTTTATTCATACGCTGAAGCAAAAGTTTGACATTCTGAGAAATGTACTTCACTTTCTGGTGTGAAGATCAATACCACTCTCATGTTTGTCTGTTGTCTCAATGAGTTATTTGAGACACATGATCTCGCACATTATACCAAGCAAACCACTTAATCGTTCTACATAAGGCATTTAAGCCACAGGTGCCATATCTGACATCACTGACCTTGGTCTGAAAGTGACAGGAGCAAAAACTGATTACTGTATTAGGTGGTGTAGCACATGAGGGATCAGCCATGACATTACCCAACCAGTATCCAAGGAAGGTTAAAATCAAGGGCAACTGGACTGGTTGAAGATACTTGAAGATGTTTTGCTTCTCATCCGAGGATCTTCTTCAGTTCTAAAGAACCGAGGGGGCTTCTGCAGGTCTGAAGAATTGTCTATCTACATACTTCAAAGATTGATGACTTGAAATTACCAACAGAAAAAGTTACTATTTACAATATAATGTATTCATAAAATAAACCTGATCCTGGAGGTTGTAAGACTCTGAATCATGAGAGCTTCTCATTTATCTCCAAAACAAGAATAGACGTGAAGTTGTAAAAGTTCTTCAGGGAAAGAAATTTCCACTGTGTCATGTAGTGCTTCCACCAGTCTGAATTAAGAGACAACATACTGATCACAGTCTTGCAGAGGTCAGAGAGACGAATGTTCAAATAGGATGACTTTTGATTGGTTGGAGAGGCTAGAGAGCCTAGAGGGCCTGAAAGCTCCGATCCGAGAGTACACATCTGCGTCTGAGCAGGCGCCCCATGACAGGTGAGGGCTAGGCGGGGTGGTGTGGATCACAGGCAGGGGGAGAGGGAAGGCGAGGACAGTAGGTGTTGGAAGGAGAGAAGGTGAAGTGTGAAGTGGTGGTGGAGGCAGGACAGTAGGTGAGGGGATTGGCAGTGGTGGTTGAGAAGGCACTGGTGGGGCTGGAAGTGGGGTGAAAACATTGGGTGTCACCAGGGTTACGTTTTGGACAGGCGGGGTAGCTTCAGGGACCGTCCCATTCTTTGCTGGCTGGTCCCGACACAGTGCAGTGTGTTGCAGTGTGTAAGTGGCAGTGTGATAGAAGCTGTAGTACTCCAGAGTGTGCCTTGCCTTGGCCAACCTCAGCCTGTAGGACACAAAACAAATAAATTTTTTTCTTTGTTCCCCCCTCATAACCAGGTAAAAGTCTCAATGAGATTAAACCAATAGTTCAACATTTCTGGTGAGATGAGAAGATTGATATAAATGTCCTGCCTCTGCATTACGTAAAGAAACAGTTAGCCTTGCTTTGCACTAATACTGGAGGACAGTTAGGCTGTTCACAATTCAAAAAGCCTGGTCACCAGAAAGTAGCAAGTCTCATCTCCACGTCTTTGCAAAATATTTGGTTCTAGCTTAGTGATGTAGTGACAACTCGACAACTAGTTGGTGAGGTACTGTAGCTAGTGAGCTAACCTTTAACATGGTATCCTGCTGGGAACATGCTGGTTATTTTATTTATTAAAGATTTATTGTAGAGGGGAACAAACAGCTCACAGAGACCTACCAGAAAAGATGTATTTGTACCGTTTATGTTCATCAGTTCAGAAGATAATAGATGAGTGGTTAAATAAAAGTGGACGGTGAAACACAGCTACGATAGCATCTTCCAGTTGGGACTCTCTGGCTCTTTGTTCCCTCTGTAGAGTAATTTAAGGCCTGAAGGTACTAAAGTTAACTAAATTGGGCCCCAGATATACAATTGAGTTTGTCATTAGAAACTCGGGGGTGCAGTTTAGGCCTAACTTCTATGTAACCCACTCTGCAAAATAAATTAACGATGTAAAAGGTAATTGTAAGGGATAACCTCACAAGAAATATAGAAAACTTTAGTTCACACATTTCAAAACAAAGAGCTATAACTACTTACTCTGACACAGTCCTCAGTTATATCAGAGCATCTTAAACAAGTATGAATTGACCAAATGTCCAAAAAGGAAGTTACCAAGATAACTGAAGTGTTTGTGTGTGAGAGTGTGTGGGTATGGGGAATTCACTCTCAAACGAGACTGGAGGATGTGGAGAAGAGAGGCCAGGCTGGGAGAAAAGTTTGTGTCCAACAGAGGGGTAATATGAGACAGTTCTGTGTTCTTGAAGTGGGAAGAGCAGAGGGGGGGTTCATTTTTCTAGGGGTAATAAGGAAATGGCAGATTATTATTTCTTGGTTGGCAGTTGAGAGATTTTACAGGAGAGCAGTCGCCAGTGTTAGAAACCAAGAGAGTGTCACCAATTCGGTAAGAAGATCCAAGATAGATTTTCCAGTCGATCATCACAGGGGCCAAAAGGTAAAAGGAACGAACAAACACCCTCTTATAGTGTTTGTTGGTAACGGTCTGATGCATTTCAGGGATACTTCACTAAAAGCTGGCTATGACCTACAATTGACGAGAATCGAAATGGATTTAAACTAGCATTGGCTCAAAATGCTCACTCAAGTCATACCACCCTTCTCTGCAATGTGTCTGTCCTCTTTCTCACACGCCCTCCCACACATATATTAGCAATTATCAGCCGCTTCTCTGCTGTGCCACACCTGCTGCCTCACAGGTGTCAGCAATCCTCTGCTGTGCAGTAAAGGACTGGCTGCTACACCTTAAAGCTCAAACAATTTTCAACTGCATGGATATACTTTGCCTGTACACCAGTACTTTACACATTTTCATACCTGAAAGCTATCTCTGCAAGACAATTTGACATTAAATTTCCTTTGATAAGAATACAGTCAAGATTTTAGAGGGATCTGATCTCATGTGCACACCTGTGTCTCAGTTGTAAGAGTCTGTAGAGCAGCAGCAGGATTACAGCTCCAGCCAGAGTCACCAGAAACACAGCCACCCTCACATCCAAGCATTTCCCAGCAGGTTCTGGTGTGCCGCAGGTCCTGGGGGGCTGTGATGTCTGGAGGGGCCCCTCCATACGCTTAGGATTGATGATGGCCTGGACAGGCTGGGCGGTGTCCAGCAGGAATGGGTGTTGGTTCCTGAGTACAGGAGTCTCAGGCTGGGGAGGGATCTGGAGAGATGTGCTGCTGGTGACCTGAGGACCAACCTGCATCACTGCCAGGTTTTATCCAGGAGGGAAGAGTGGTGGAGTGTTGTTTGTCGAAAATTATTTCCCACTGTTAAATACAGTCCTAGAAGAGTGCGAAGATGTCTCCATGGAAGTGGCTTCAAACGGCTCAGTGTGTCAGATGTTCTGTGAAATAAAACATTTTCAGTCTCTGTAACTGGGTTTTTTCATAGGTGAGAGGTGAAACAGACTTTTAATCAAAGAGGACAGTGACATGACTGCTTTTAATCTTCAATGTCATAAAATCCTATGCTATTAATATTAAGAATTCTAAGATTTTAGATTTGAAAACTTCAAGCTACCCTGTGCAGTTTTTCTGTAAACACACATTAAGTGTTTTTCACTAAAATACAATGTGTGTATCCTTGAGGCCTTACACATGTGCTGAGTGCATTTCCTTCTTAACACATTTGAAAAGCCTGTTTTATATTTAAACCACTAAATGATATTTTAGTCTCTTGGGGGCAGCGGGCACAAGTTGTGAGCACATCATTAACATACATTTTTAAGTCGTCAAGGCAAACATGTTAGCAAATAGCAGCTTATTTACACATCAAGCACTTACAGAGATTTCCTAAAGATTGCACTGTGGTCACTAGCTAAATTTGTCTGCCTATCATTTCATGAATACTGGGTTTTTAAAGCTGTTTTGATACAAATAGCTGAATGCTGCAAAACAGTTGTGTTGTAGGCTGAACAGCTAAACTGGGACTAAATGCTACCAATTTGACATTATACATTGCTTTCAGATTGTAATTTGATAAACAGCCTTTTCTGGCTGGGTAGCAGTTTTCTTTTTCCCTGTCTTTACTGACTTGCAGCCATGGTTAGCAACTGCCAATTAAAACAAGATGTTAAACCAATCAGTGTGCTTGAGCATGTGTCCTCCTGCATGTGATACCAAACGAAACAGGGACCCACACACAAAACATTGCTGTATAGCACTACTGGTGGTCAAAAACCTCCACAGAGTACCTTTTTAAATTACAATTTTGTGAACAACCATGCAGTGTTTTATTTAAGTGAATTCACTGTACCAAGCAGATGTTTACTTGTCTGAACAAAAACTTTCAAGATTAAATGTGTATCAACTCAAGTATGTGGGCATATATAAGGGGACAAAATGCTATTCATAAAGAATCTGCAACTCTATTAATGTATGTCAGAAAATGTTACAAAATATGTGCAACTTACTTTCAAAATTCCGATGGCGTTGTTGTAGGTACATTCATTTAGAAAAGAAAATGCACAAAATAGAAAAACTGAATAGAACAGGATCACTGGTTGAGAACTGCGTGGCTTTCCAGGGACAAATGCAGAATCCTGAGAACACACCAATGGGAGGAAGCCAGTGAAAACAGCAGGAAACTGTGCACTTCCCTTATACACAACACAGAAATATGATTGGAGAGCACTTCCTATCACCATGGTTGCAGGAAACTGGTCAAGGATGTCTTTTTTTAAGGACTTCATTTTGAGTTGAGTGTGGGTCTGAACAAAACACACTAAGCACACACAAACTCAGAATGGGAGCGCACAAAGGGTCTTCTGAGGATAAGGTATACTTATTAGTCTTCTAGTCTTTCAGACAACCACTAATGCCTGCTTTAATAATTCAAAAACATTTAATAAAACTGATTTAAGCCTTTTATCATAGTTCACACAAGCTGTAGATTAAAGTCAAAAACACAAACACAAAAAGAAGTACTGGGATTACAAGGCTTCTATACTGATAAATCAGGGAACAAAACGCCAAATAGAATAGTAGGACCATATATACACAGTTTACTTTTAGATCTGAGCTTTATCTGGGGGAAAAAAAGAACAAATTTAACAAAAGCCGTTTCAAAGTGAACAGGAAACGGTTGTTTCTGTGCCACAAAAGCAGCCTACATTAGTCCCAGCAGGGCCAGTGCAGGTCAACAGATACAGAGAGATGATGGCTGCCCGTGAAAGGCTGGCCGCTATCTGATTGAGCCAGTATTCAGGGGAGGAATAAATGACATACAGGCACAGAAAGACGCAAGTCCAGCTCTCATTTATCTTTCTAATAAGTTTTGATGCTGGGCCAAGCTGAAAGGGAGGAACTCTTAGCTCTCACTCAATATCCCTGCCTGGCACCCTCACAATCCTCCGATATTGAAGAAGAGAGTAATATTAAAAGATCTGTTATCAGTTCCCAATTGTAGTTCAGGAGGGAGGTGATCTACCCAGAGAACCTGCTAAAAAAGTATTCAGGAGGTATACTATTTATTAAAACTATAAAAACAATGTTAGAAACAAGTGTCTGCATTCTGATATCTTCGATTAGTTTAGTTATTCTTTTGCTGTGTCTATTCAATGTTGAATTAATAAGGCTAAATTCAGTTTTTTGGGGAGGGTCGTAAGTACAGGGAATGGACAAAATAAAATGCACACCAGGGCTCCTGCATTAACAGACCTTCCCCATATACTATGTTAAAAAAAACTTTTCCATTACATGGGCAATGAATTTTTTGTGATTAAATCATCAGCATAAATCATCATCATCATCACTAACCAGTCCCGACCAGGATTTCGTGGCCCTTTTTTGTGATTGTTGCAGCCTAAATGTGTTTTATTTGCAGTGGAATTGTGGCTATAAGTGAAAACTGCAAAGGTAGATGTATTTTTTTTACTTAAGAATTATAGGTGTTTATAATTATAGTACTATGCTTTTCTGCCATTCCCTGCGTATATTTTGCAGTGGCAAAATGTCCGTTTAGATGATAGGTGATTTCCTTTTACGTTCGACCACAATACTGCACGTTTTGCAACAGTTTACTTTGGCAATGAACATCTGGATACTTTTTTACAACAGTTACTTTTGTTGTCAAATTTGAGACGTTGATAACACACGTCTGCTGCGTCTTACAAACAAGGAGATGAGTTTGCTGACATACGACAACATTTGCGCGAAACGGTGATGACAGTTTTGCACATTTGTTGCGATGATTGGTTAAAATTGCAAATCACCCTGAATTTGCAGGAATTTGTTGAATTTGTGTTAATAGTTATGATAGTGACATTGCAAAATCGTGGCGGGACTGACATAACGGCACAGAAACATAAATGTCCTTTTTATTATATATATAGAACCTTCTGTCTTCAATGTTTTGCTATGTGGTTTTGGCGAACGTGTTATTCATTGCAATGTCCCTTTATTGACCTTTGCATTTTTTATGGGTTCAAGCAAGAGCTGGGAACACCTTTGTATTTGTTAGGGTTGTTATTAATATGTGGATAACAGTATCAGCATAGTCCATGATGAAAGTTAACAATTATGGTGGTGATGATGATGGTGATCAGGAACACTAAAGATGATAGGAAGGGTAGATGAATTTAAAAAAGACAACGATGATGATGGCAATGATGGTAATGAGAATGATGATGGTGATGTGGCGAGGATGAGGACTAACTGAACATGCTGCTGCTGCTGATTATGATTATGATGATGATGATGATGATGACGAAAAGGCTATGGACGATGATGAGGAGAAGGATGATGATGATGTGTCGAGGGCGAGGAAGCACTAAAGGTGAGGATGATGATAATGATTACGATGAGGATGTAATATAGTGATGATTATGTTACTAATGAGGACAATGATAAGGATGATGAAAATAATAATGATGTTGGCAATGAGAATGATGATAATGATGGTGCCAGTTGTGGCCATAATAATGAGGACCAGGATGATCATAATGATGCGTTAAAGATGTTGATCAGAGAATGAAGATGATGCATTAAAGCTGAAGGTGATGACTCCTGCAGCAATGGAATAAAGACAGTGTGGTTTGACAAGCAGCAGAGAGAATCCTCCAGTTAATGATACCAGAGATTTAAATCTATTCATGAGCTAATTTGGCCATTGTCATCCAAGTGTGGAACTGCAGCTCTGGCAGACTGATGGAGCTAACAGGCGGCTGAAGTAGGAGTTCACTGATTGGGATTTTTTTTTTGTGTGTATGACTAAAGACTACCAGGGAGCTGTTAAGTGCTCTTTGACTGGCCATCCACTGTTAAATACAAGACTGTCCATCATATCCTGCTCGCTATAACCACCTTCAAAAGTCTTTTAAGTATGACGGAGTGTGGGGGAAGAAAGACAGACAGGAAGAGAAAAAAAATGGAGTTTGTGTGCATATAGAATCAAATGCTAAAATGTTCATAGAAATTGCGGCATTGAGCTCATTTATTTATGAAAACAGATATATCCTTAAAGACTTTTTAACAACTCTAAGTCTGTTTGAATGTGAAGGCAGTTATAGGCCTTTACTGTGAAACTGGATGTGTCAGTTGGCAGACATTCGCAGTTAGCCAACGTCACCAAACATTATATAGAAGAACTATATAGTTCTGAAAAACACTGTGGTGAGCTAGGTTGTTTAGTAGGTCGTTTTTTGTTCATAGGAAAAGACCGCCTAGTAAAGTTTTGATGAAGAACCGTAGAAGTCTGTATTAAAGCTGAGTCAGACCACTCTCACTCACACATGTTTACACCGGTAAATCTATATGAATTTTGGGGCTTGTTGTTTCCATTAAATGAACTGAACTATTGAATTGTGGAGAATCTAACAGATGTGCAGCATGTCCATACTGACATACTGATCATACGTGTAAACATTAATATTTGTATTAACGATCTAAGCAGCTGAGAAGCAGCGAAAGCAGGCAATCCCGTGGGGTTTAAGAGTTTTTACAATGCATCAGTTTTTATACATCCAAAGAACTTATAAATACTAGACTAGATGTGTTCCCACACCAGGCCAGTAAACGGGATAGGTGGCTATTTGGGACTCGGCTATTAATTGAAGTTTTATGCTGTGTATAGAGCTGTCTCCAGGTGTTTTGCTGGTGTGTGTCGCATTTTGCTCGCTCTTAAGTTCGAGCACACACCTGGTTGCAATCTAACAACCACACTGCTTGTGGCAAGGAACATGATGGATGTGAAGACATGGGCTGCTCGTCACGCAATGATCTAAAATGGCGATCAGGCCTGCAGAGAAAGGGGTTAGGACCCAAAATTGTGGGTACCCTCTACCCTTCTACCTGCCCTAACCAAGATGGAATGGAGCATGGACAAGTATGTGTGTGGATGTGCGTAGGGCGTGTAGCTGGCAGTGAAGACACTGCGGTCATGGAGTCTGCATCGTTTAAGGGAGTCTGCGGGTTTTAATGACCTAAGGAGAAGTTTGCGTTGTACAATTGTTTTTACTGCTGATTCTATTTGCTTTAGAGTCAGTTAATTTAAAATGGACATTTTTCAGGCTGTCCTATTCAATTTTCTAAAAAAAAGATGCATAAATAATACTTTTAATGATGCATGTAGTAATTGACAGTTGTTAAAGGAACAAGGCAAAGTATTTAATTGTAAAGAAAGATACAGTACTACGGAACAAAGAACTACTGTCTTAGAATATAATATACTCTCTGTTCAACAGGTTTCACCTGCTGAACAAAGAGTATATGTCAAGCTATGACGTTTATTCTGAAAAACTTGAGCTGCATGCATAATCTGATGCATTTATTAATAGAAGTATTTTACATAAAATTGGACTCAATTCAACAAGAAATTCAATGTACTCTGTGATTTATTTCTCCTTCAGAGTCTCTAGGGAGTGATTAGGCCTTATTTGACCAGTCAACCAAGAGGGTAACATGACTTTACTGGTCACTGACCAGCATTTATGTAAATTCCACACAAAACCTAAAGTAGCATCCAACCTGGAAAGCTGCAATGACTACTGCATCAAGGACTGACCACTGAGTTTAATTGCCAATAATAGCATAGATAGAATGTGTTTGTGGAAGGAAATTATGAACTCTGTGATACATTTGTTACATTGGTATAAGGAAATTGAACCCATTGCTGGAGCTCAGACAGCTCAGGAGCAAAGTGGCAATTCATTTTAAGCTCAATGACAAAGCACGGGGCTAATACAAATACACAATACCACACAAATACCTGAGGGGTAAAGCCCTTTGAGGCAAATTTGTGATATACATATATAAATTAAATTACTAGATGCTTTTTCAGAACATTATTGTTTCTAAAACCTAGCTAACTGACTCATCATTTGGATTATATGGGAGAACAGTGAGTTTTTTTCATCATAAGATATTTATATAGAACACGGTATGCTTTTTGCTTCCAGACGTCTGTTCTGTGCTGGCATAAACCTTATAGGAGCAACAGTATGATACCTTACTAGTTAAATTATAAGGCTGGTGATAGCTTGTACTCTTATTGTCAACAGATCACAAATATCAAACCCAACAATGAATTTATCCTAGCTATGTTGTCTGCCTCTATT